CTTGCCGCCCTCCTCCTCCACCTCCTCCTCCTCCTCCTCCTCATCCTCCTCATCCTCCTCATCCTCATCCTCCTCCTCATCCTCCTCCTCTTTCCTCCTCCTCTCTCCTCCTCCTCAACCTCCTGCTGCTGTTGCTGTTCCGTATCCTCCTCCTCCTCCTGCTGCGACTTTTCCTCATCATCATCGCCTCCACCAGCACCATCATGAGCAGCAGCATCATCGTATGCACCCTCATCCTCATCCGCATCCTCATGTTCCTTATCCTCATCCTCATCATCATCATCATCATCATCATCACCACCATCAGCATCATCAGAATCATCATCATCATCATCATCGTCATCATCATTATCATCATCATCAGCAGCAGCAGCACCATCATCAACCAACGACAACAGCAGCTGCATCACTATCCTCGTTATCCGCATCGGAATCCCCATCAGAATCATAATCATGATCATGAAAACATCATGAGAATCATCGTCATCATCACCGGCAACATCATCACCACCACCACCATCATCATCAGCATCATCGTCGTCGTCATTATCATCATCGTCATTATCATCGCGACCAATATCACTATCATCGTCATCATCATCATCATCATCACCATCATCATCCTCATCATCATCATCATCATCATCATCATCATCATCATCATCATCGTCATCATCATCATCATCATCATCATCATCATCATCATCATCACCATCACCATCAGATCACCATCACCATCACCATCACCATCACCATTACCACCATCATCAACATCACCATCAACATCATGTTCGCCTTCGTCTTCATCACCATCATCCTTCACCTTCCCCCGAAACCATTCCGGCACAAGCTGGCCTGCCTCCCTCCTTGTCCGACCACCCTGGGCGGCACGGCGCAACACCGGCGGCAAGACTTGGCACGGCGGCGGCGCGGGCAGCCAGAGAGAATCCGAACGGTCGGCAGAGGGCAGAATCCCTGGGGCGGGCCGGCCACGCCACTGCTCGGATCGAGGCAGAGCGCTTCGATCTCGGGACGATTGCTGCCTGCCACGAGTGGGGCACCCAGAACATAGCTGAGCTTTGGCACAATCTCATCGATGGCTAAATGGCGGCTAGGGCGCCACCTCACTCAGCATGCCTACTAAAAAATGAATAAGAGTTGGAAGCCCAAGTCGCGAGAAGGGTGACGGGGTTCCCAATCACGTACGTGTGACGACGGGGTGCCAGCCCGGACAGCATGCACGTCATCCCCTCATCGCCCCTCCCCGTTGCGGGTGGCGCAGGGGGGCCACCTCACCCGCCGGGGAGAGGGCTTCTCGACTGCCGAACTGATGGGAAAAAGGACTCCACAGCGGTCGTTCGACCTCGCCGACCTGGGGGGCGCGCAGGCAAGGCTGAGCAGCGCCAATGGAGCAGGAGGAGGAGGAGCAGGAAAAGGAGGTGGAGGAGGAGGAGGAGGAAAAGGAGGAGGAGAAGGACGAGGAGGAGGAGGGGAAGGAGGAGGAGGAGGAGGAGGAGGAAGAGGGGCCACGACCGTGTGAGTTGCGCTCATAAATGCGAGGCGGAGCTATGGGACCACGAAGCGTGAGGGGTGTGTCGACATGAGAGGCGGGAGCTCATGCGAACTCTGGCAATTAGGCCTTAGTCGACGCTCCCCATTGGGCCACGAAGTGCGTGAGTGGTGCGCCGACATGAAAAGCGGGAACTCGAAATGACAGGCGGGAACTCATGTGAACCCTGGCTTTTGGACCCTAAGTGGAGCTGCCTATGGGGCCCAAAAAATGTGCGAGAAGTATCCACGGAGAGAGCTGCCCATGGGGCCACGAAACGTGCGAGGGGTATGCCAACGTGAAAATGGGAACTCATGCGAACCCTTGCATGAGGGCCTCCGGTTGAGCTCCCTATGGGGCTACGAAGCGTGTGAGTGGTGTGCGGAAGGGGCGTGGGAGAGGTGCGACCACTAGAGCATGCCCACGCGAGCCCTCGCATCTGGGCCGTGGATGGAGAGCTCCGAGTGGCGTCACGGAACACGCGAGGGGCGTGCCGAAATGAAAGGCAGGCACTCATGCGAACCTTGGCATTTGGGCAATTGTCCATCCATGGGCTCCCCTGAATTCGGAATTACGGGAAGCCCATGGATAGGCGATTGCCGGCCAAGTTACCCCTGCGCGGACACACGCGCCGTGTGCCCCGCACGGTCACGCGGGGTAACCTGTGAGAAGCGGCGACTCGACGCCGAGATTCCGAATTATGGGAAACCCATAGGTCGCCAGATTCCCTAGGGTTTCTGGCAACCTATGGGTTTCCCATCATTCGCGGCGGCAAGCGGGGTCCAGATTCCGAAGTATGGGACACCCATGGGTCGCCAGAAACCATAGGGTTTCTGGCGACCTATGGGTTTCCCATAATGCAAGGCGGCGAGCGGGATCCGGGTTCCGAATTATGGGAAACCAATAGCTCGCGACCTGTCGGTTTCCCATAACTCGCGGCGGCGAGCGGGGCCCAGGTTCCGAAGTATGGGAAACCCATAGGACGCCAGAACCCCCTAGGGAATATGGCGACCTATCGGTTTCCCATAGTTCGCCCACCTCAGCGGTGCCGTGGAATCTCACCGAATTCCAGACGCCGCGCCATAAGTGGACATTCGCATTCGAACTCGCTCGCGCCATGTGGGGCGGCGAACGGGGACCAGGCTCCGAATTATGAGAATCCCATAGGTCGCCAGATTCCCTAGGGTTTCTGGCGACATATGGGTGTCCCAGAATTCGGAATCTGGAACCCGCTCGCTGCCGCGAATGATGGGAAACCCATATGTCGTCATATTCCCTATGGGTTCCTGACGACCTATGGGTTTCGCGGCGGCGAGAGATCAGAGAATGTGCAGCACGGCGCGCCCCTCCGCGCGCGCGTGCTGCGCGCCCGACGCTCGGCCGCCGACCAGCCCGGCCTCCCCGGAGCCCAGGGCGACGAGGAGACGCCCGATCGGTCCCGTCGCCACGAGGGAGGCGCGGGCGGGCGCTGGGCGGCGCGGAGGTGCGCCAGCGGTGCGGGTTCGGGCTGCAAGTTTAGAAAACGTGGGCCAGGCTGGCACGCGGAGGAGGAGGAGGAGCAGGAGGAGGAGGAGGAGGAGGGGGACGAGGAGGAGGAGGAGGGGGAGGAGGGGGAGGAGGGGGAGGAGGAGGAGAGGGAGGAGAAGGAGGAGGAGGCGGGGAGGCGCTCTGGGCTCCCAGGGGGGGGGCTTGTGCGCACATACTTCAGAGCGCCGTGTGCGCACGAGCTTTGGCAACGAACTTCTGTTTGCACCAGTCCTCTCTTTCCGCATCCGTCTCGGCTCACGCGATGGGCACCAGACCGCGCGGCAAAGCCGTGGCGGCGGCGCAGGGCGGCGGCACGGTGCCCCCTGGGCCCAAGGCTCCCGCCTGGGGCTGCAGCTGCGGCGAGGCCGCCAGCTGAGCATCGAGGCTCCATAGCAGGAGCTGCGGGGCCCCCGCGCCCGTCTCCGCGCGGCAGCGGGCCGTGGAGGCGGCGACAGGCCCGCCCCCGCCTACGGCGCGGCCGCCGTGGGCGGCGGCGCCCAAGGCCAAGGTGGGCGCCAAGGCTGGCGTCAAGGCGGAGGCGGCGGCCGCAGCGGCGCCGCGGGTGCACGGCGGAGGCAAGCCTCGGCGAGTGCGTTTCCGCGAGGCGGAGGTGGTCGAGATCGAAGAGGACGGCGAGGTCGACCAGCTGGCCGCGGCGCTGCGGCTGCCGGAGGGGCGCGGCGCCCAGCTGGACGATGAGGCGCAGAGGAAGCTGGGGGTCGCCAAGCAGGAGGCCGACCCAGGCAAGGCGGGCGGCCCCAGAGGCTCCCAAGTCGCACCACGCGGCGGTGCAGAGCGCCATGTGGAAGGTCAAGAACGCAGCGGGCAAGCTCGAGCGGGCCCAGCGGAACCTGGAGGCCGCTAAGGGCGCCCTGGCGGACGCCCAGCTCGCGGCGGACAAGGCTGCGGAGGCCAAGGAGGCCGCGGCCAAGGTCCACGCCCAGGCTCAGGACCTGCTCGAGCGCGCCAGGAGGGTGGAGCAGGCCGGCCTCCCGCCCGAGGCCCAGCTCGACCAGGGGGCGCAAGATGTCGACAGGCTGGCCCAGGCCACCCTCGGCACGAGGTACGCTGCTGAGCTCAAGGGCCACTTCGAGGGCGAGGAGGCGGCCCAGGTCACCCAGGCCATCGGGCTGTTCTCGAAGCTCGCCGCTTCGTGCAAGGCCCGCATCGAGGCAGCCGCCAAGCGTGCGGCGGAGGCCCCACCTCCTAGGGCGCCCCATGCCGCTGCTGCTCCTGCTGAGCGCCCTCCCGACGGCCAGGGCGGGGCACCCGCACCTGGAGGGGGCGCAATGCAGGAGGAGGGCGATGGCTTCGCCGCCAGTGTTGAGGCCCTCGACGGAGCCAAGCGAGCCGAGATCGAGCGTTTCCTCGAGTCGCACGGCTGCTCCCTGCCCAAGCGCCCGCGCCTCCCTGGAGGCTCCGCCGCGGGCCAAGGCGCGGCCAGGGCAGCAGAGGAAAGCGGGGACGGTCACTGAGGCGCCAGAGGGCGCGGAGGCGACAGCTGCCGCCCGCAGGGCCCTGGCGCCCCGCGAGGGCTCGCTTGGAGGCTGGACTCGGCAAACACTACCACCAGGGCGAGCTTGCGACGCTGGCTGCAGGAAGAGGCGCAGGGCGACATCCTCTTCGCGCAGGAGACGGGCGTGGCGCCAGGGGCGAGGGCGGAGGTAGAGCAAGCTGTCCGACGAGACGGCTGGAAGGCCTCATGCACGGAGGCCCGCCGCACAGAGCGAGGGGGGCTCTCCAGCGGGGTCGGCATCGTGTGCAGGGCCCACCTGGGCATGGGCATGCCACCCGCGGGGCCTGCGTTGCCCCCTGACAGGATGGTGGCCCGATGGGTGAACGCCCACGTCCCAGGAGGCTCCCTGGCAGTCTCGGTCTACCTGGTGGCGACCACCAGCGGCCTTGACCCCGAGAGCAAGGTGTT